AATATTTTGGAGATGAATGGAAGATTTGAGATTGGCCTGAAATTTGAACAGATGGTGGGATCAAAGCCACTTTTTTTAAGTAGGGGTCGTACTACGGCATGTTTAAAATCCCCTGGTACTGTACCAGAGGAAAGACTACTATTAACTTTAAAATTTTTAGGACCAAAACACTAAGTGTTTTTTTTTCAGGAAGTACCTTCCACCCTTTTGGGTGCTCGGACCCTAAATATAAGACATATAAAAATAAGCTAGTAACTGTAGAGCAACTGCAATGCATCCATTCTGATAGAAAGAAAATTCAACTTGGCACCAAGAACTGATTAATCATTTATTATGTTGAAAACAGAGAATATTTATTTTTTAAAATGTAATAAAACAAAGGCCCATGTGAAACACTTGCAGGCAGTGGGAAAGGCAGTGAATAATTTCAGAGAAGAATAAAAAATAAGACACTGGTAGAAAATTGTAAATGCACCTTCTTAGATGTGGTGAAACAAAGCTTCACTAATATGCAACAATATAAGTAAAAGCTCAGGGACAGCTCTCACTGCTGAAGCACAGACTTGGTGAACGAGTCACTAGCACTCATAGGATCTTGTTCTCCTAACTCGTTTAGTAGACACCACGAACCACCACTTGCTGTAAAATACTCTTTTTCAGTTACACAAATCCAGTTGACATAAATCAGTACGCATATAACTGTAAAACACCAAGTGCATTTGACCTGTTTTTGTAAAAATACAAAAAAAAGCACACTTCTTTACACATTTACACACTTTATGAACTATGTATACTGTAAAACCACTATGAAAAGAAAACCTGAATATCTAATTGTCTAAAACTTGCATGACAAAAATTGGTCTGATTTCTAATTCCTAACCACACAAGTCCCCACACCTTAGTACTTAGCCTATCTAGTTCTTAATCACACATCAACACAACACAACACATGGTCACGTTCTCTCTAACCTCAAGTCGGGATGAATCCATAACAGTTAACTATCTCCTGAAAGGCACCAACCAAACACTATATGCAGAGAAACCTGCAGCCTCTTGGCAATGGTTCAGCAGTTTGCCATATGTTAGAAGAACTATACAGCTGTGTGCAAAAGGATTGGCCCCTGATGGCAAATTATGTTGATTTCTGATATATAAAGAAGTAAATACATTCTTGTAGAAAAGAGACATTTACAATTAATTCAAAGATTAACACACTGGTACCTTATATTTTACGCACTAAAAAACGGCTTTTGCTTTTGCTGTAAAACTTTTTAAAAAATGTAAAATTTGACATATTTATTCCTCCAGTGCAGCTCCAAACTTCTGTCATCACAGGAATGCCCCCAGAAATTCTTCATAGGGGTGGCAAAACGGGGTCATTGAATATCTTGGGGTGGCACATCAAAACCTACATTTGAATTTCAATAATTCTGTTATGCTTTTGTTGTACATAGGCCAGTTGACAAAGATGTCAGTATGAGAGTTAATAAATCTCTGACTGATGTATCTTGATTTCTTGTTTGACAGTTACTATCTGATATGCATAGACTGATAACGGTACAGTTAGCATTTTAGCTGTTTGGGTGACCGCGGTTCTGAGTAGCCCAGAGGAAAAAAAGGTCACCTGTAGGCATCACATACCTGGCAGAAATACCCAAACATACCAGAGTTAATTCCTCACCACAGCAACCTATGGTACAATAAAATGTGTTGTCATTGTTAGTCAACCACCTGTTGCCAAGTCTTGGTAGTTACTTTAGTGACTAGAGAGGACAAAAACGCTTTCACTTGTTTTGATCAACCACCCACCCCCACACGGTGACACGACCCGCGAAAGTTTACCCAAACTGCACTGTCATGTTTTTTCAGGTGAATTAACAGTAGATAACATATTCTAGGTACCAATGCTAGTTTTTAATTAGTTTATGTCATAGACACTAAACTGGTGACATATCCCATTATGTTTAAGTTGGCTACAGAGAACATCATGCTGAACAATGAATATTTAATAAGAAGTGTTTATCTTCTTAAGAACAGACGTCAAGTGTGTTTTTGATCCTGGAAGTATAACGCTGCTATCTCCTGCACTTCAGAAGTGACGAGGGCTGAAAATTATCTGAAAATAGAACAAATTAGACCTACTCCTAAGCACCTGAAGGGCCTGTAACTCAGTAAATATTACCTGCAGGAAGGTAAAAATTTGCATGGCTTTAATAGATATTCTAAAGTTTGTGGACATAAAAAAAAATGAGGGGGTCAGGTGGGAGCCACTGAGTTTCATGGAATGACCCTTTAGGTTTTGTTTCTCTCACACACACTCTCTTCACACTTTGTTAAACTGTATGAACCGACACTGATGGTTAGCATGGATGGATGTGAACATCTACACACAGTGCACATCATGCATTCACATACACAGAACTGTGATGGTGCATTTGTGAATATGAGTGTTTTGTGAATCATCCGGTTAAAGAATTATATCTTGAACTATATTTTCTCTTAATCTGCCCCAGCTTACAGCTACCTCATGGATGCTTGTCCTACATTGTGCAGCAGTTCATTTTGTCCCATGTTGTATGGCACTACAAGCAAAGCCACTTAAAGAGAAGGTTTAGAGACAAAGGTTTTAGGACAAGTTTTTGGCATTTTTTTTCAGTAAATAACCTCAAATGATTATCAAAGCTGTCATAGATATTTTTCTCAATTAACTAATCTACTAATCATTTTAACACTGATGTACTAATTTAAACTAACAAACAACAAATAGAAATATCCCTAGCTGTAACTTAATAATACAAAACCCCCACCATAAACAGCAGCAGCGAGGAGGCCTGCACACAGTCGATATCAGTTTGATCCACAAGTAGGCTGCCGGTCACGGTAAGGTAGCACTTATGCGGAATGTTAAGACATTGTACATTTGGCAGAAAATACACTTGACTCTGTATGGCACAGTGCTAAGGAATGATTATTAAGAACTCTGTGGCCTATACAATTCTACCTGAAGCAGGAAACAGAGTGCAGTCCTTGGCTCCACATTGGTTTTCTTTCCCTCCTGTAATCACCATGAAGCCATGGCACGCATCTCTTTTTTTCTGAGGCATTTTTGTGAGGGGGACTGTCTGACAGTGAGAATATGCAGTTGCTAAGGTGAACATGTGAATACTGAAGTATTTACTCCGACAGCTAATCAACAAGTGGTGTGTGGAGGTGGCCTGGCATGGTCAAGTAAGTAAGTTTAGTTTTGTTGGCACTTGAATCGTCTAATTGGAATACAGATGTAGCATAATGACTCTGACGACAGCTGGTTGTTGATTATGGGTCTTTCCTTTCGAGTTAACGTGCTGTCGTGCATGCTGACATGCTTTTTAATCTTGTCCACGTATGTGCTTCATCCTTCATTATGTCTGTGAATACCAAAGTCATAAAACAACAAACCAAGACAACATCTAGCTAAACAACACTGACTTAGACTTGGAATACTTCTACCGTCATATATGTGAGTATCAAGTCGTGTGAAATGCACTCAGAAAAAAACCTTACAGTCACAGAGACTGTGCAGCAGGTGTGAGAGGCCAGCTGCTGCATGAACCTAACAACACAAGGCCATATGGGCCATACTGTGAATGAAAACATGTCTGCTGGCTTTATTTGGCACCCATGAGTGAAACAAAGTTCCATAAAATGGGTCTGTCTGGGTTTTAGCGAAGAGCAGCACCAACTCCTTCAGAGAGGAAGCGATAGCCATGGCAGCATTAATTCTTACTCTGTTTCATTTCTCATTGATGATCTCCTCGTATTTGGGTGGAGGGTCGATGAACGAAGGTGCTGAGATCTCATCACCATTGCTTTCCATGTGTCCTGTCACCTCCTCATAAGATGGAGGTGGTGTGGCCCCAGAAAGCCGAGAACCCACCGACAGGGAAGAGTCCTGGACGTAGAGAGCACCAGTGTTCTGTTGGTAGAGGCTGTGAGAGTCCAACTGGGAACCTCCACCTCTCTCAACACCACTCATTACTACAGTGGGATTTGAGCTGGACTCCTGGCGCAAGCTTTCCGTCTGTGCACCAGTTTCCCGGTGAACAAGAATGCGTGGTAGGCTGCGGTTGCTGCGGTTGTTAGCCAAGTAGCGGTTCTGGGTGTAGGCGGGCCGCTGACGGTTAGCTTTCTGAAGTTGGCACCTCCAAAGGAGAAAGAGACCAATGATGATGAGCAGGGCCACGCCCAGAAGAGGAACCACCATGTAGACCGTGTTGGCCCGCTCTGAGCGCTCCTCACCGTTGCTGCTCACGGTGTAGATGCTGCGAGTTTTCCAAAACTCCATCTGAAAAGGAACAATAGGACATTTTATTCATTTACAACTGGGTTTTATTTCAGAGTACGACATAAACTGACACTAAAGTCAGAGTTGTGATTGCTGCATGTTTAAAGAGTTTAACAATAACCACACAGTTTCATAAAGCCACATTAACACTTATACCAGGTTTATGTTGATGAATTCCATAAAGGAGCTTTTAAAAAATGTGAGCAAAGCTACCCTGGAAATGTTTTCCTCAAGACTGGTCTAGTGTCAGTCAGGTTTGTTTTCAGACTTTTTCACTTTGTTAACCATAAGAACATAACCATTAGCACTCGCCAATGCTGGACATCCCTAACAGGACAGAGCACCCTGCCACACTACAAAAATGGCTCAAGAATGAGTTGAGAAACACGACGAAGCATAAACCCAGCCTGCACCAAAACAAGTCCAATCCATGAAAGCAACACCCCGCAACCCACAGGACCCAAAGTATCCACTGCTCCCGATCATAGGCTGTAAAATGGCTTTTTAAAGGCTGAATGTAAATTTAAAAATAAAACAAAATCTAATTAAATAAATAAAAATAAATAACAATTTCTTGATGGGGCTGTTGAAGGTTCGAACCCTGTTGTGGCAGGCGGAGCACGAATGACTCACATAACGAGGGGGAGGAGCAACAACCCCCAGCTGAAACCGAAGCTCAGTGTTAATGACTTCTTAAAGATAGAAGTATCTGGAACTCCCAACTAGTCAGTCAGAGGTGATGAAGCCTCTTGGATGAGAGGTGAAACGTCTTAAAGGAACTCAAGCAAGTCCAGTTGCTACGATTAATCTACAAGAATAACCATGACCTGGATGACTGAGAATCTTCACAGACACCTTACAGGACGCTGACTTCAAAATAGTGGCTCACCGTTCTCTCTTTGTTCTCAAATACTTCATTGGCTTCTTCAAAGCTGCAGCTCTCTTCACCACACTCCCTCTCAATATTTCCTTGTCTTAACTCCTCCAGGAACCCATTGGCTCGAGGGAAACGCTTCAGGATGGAATGAGCACCCTTGCCATCGAGGAATGCTGCAACACAGTATTGAAACAAAAACCAAAGTTTAGCCGTCCGACAGCTGAAGAGGATATGTGGCCTGCAACATATTCAAAGACAAGCTTGCATCGCTATGGATGTGTAACCAAATGTTTTAAAGCACTATGCTGATATAACTGATAAGGAAGTCCAGCTCTGCATTTACCACAGAGCAGTGATATTCTCTGACTTCCATCAATCCTTAGTCAGATTATAATGTGCCATATGACTTCTTGTTGACTAATATAATACATTATGGGGTTGTACAGTCCAACCATTAGTGCCCACAGAAATGGAACATTTGCTTTGCGAGTAATTTTTTATTTTTATGCAAAACTCTTAATTCTGAAGCCACAACCCAGATGTGCACAAGTAAAAATTAAACTGAGCAACACATGTAGCCGGTGGTTCTATCACCTGAATTCGCTAAAATCTGTGTCCACAATTTTTGCTGTGATGATGCCAAATTTAATTAGGAAAAACATTAAAGCCAGTTAAAAAATGTAGGCACAAGCGACTTGGTAAGTCTAGTCCAGACCGAGTTGATCAGTCAGGCGGCTGGTCGTCACTTCTTTGACTTCAAAGTGGCACAAAAAAGAATCAGCAGCAGTCAGCCAGACTACACCAGTGATGGAGGGCTGGAGCTGGCTGTATATGTGTCTGTTTGAGAAGACGTTGACCTCTCTTTGAAATAGCAATCCAAGCAACAAACCAGATGGTAAAAAACATTATTGATCTTAGCTTAGTGTGTGTGTGTTTTGTGATCACCTGCGGCCATGTTCCTGCCCTGCTATTCACACTCTGACAGAGCGCAGATCTACAGGGAGAACACAGCAACAACATTAGACATCACAAATAACAAAATCTTTTTAACACCATCTCCAAGTGGAAAAAATTATGATTAATGTCAATAACTTTCTCAGCAAGATGTTAAAACAAAGTACAGTAATTTGTATTCTACCGTGGCTTTATGGGGGTCATACTTTGTCTGCTAAATGGTAAATGGTCTGCACTTATGTAGCGCTTTTATCCAAAGCGCTTTACAATGTGTTTCTCATTCACTCATTCACACAC